TCATATTTAAATGCAGCACACAATTCTAGAAAACTAGTAAGGTGTAAATAAGGTGTAAATAAGGTGTAAATTTAGATCTTCATTTGGTGTTACAACAAACTGATTATTTTTATACCATTTAAATAATAGAAGGTTTAAGCTCAAATGAATTGACAGCTACAACAGGGTTTTGTATACTCAAATGAATTTCATTCGTTGTAAAATTAACACAATCCCTTAAAGGTCTCTGATGATGTTCATTTTCATTTCCAGCATTATTTTAGTTGCAAGTCATTTTGCTAGAATGATTTTCTCTTTTTGTTATTTTCGAATTTTTCTAACAGTTTTGTCTAATTCAGAATCGTATGGTACTGAGTTTTCACATCTTAAACTACGCATAAACAAAATAAAAAAAAGTAATTAAAAATAAGCGATACACTTGAACAAGAAAATGTTCAAACTAAACTACAAATGCCTTTTTTTCTTTTTATATTTTAAAATAAAATAACTACAATTTCCTATTATTCCACTGCAGCAACGCAAAAAACTTGATGCGGAAAATCGGGAAAAATTGATATTAAATTAATAATAATGATGCAATATAACTCAAACATTAATGTAACTTTAATGAAAACGATTTATATTTAAAACTACTTTTTATAGTCTCAATTCCCTTTTACATATAACACAAGTCTACATATCACTCAAGTAATACAGGACTCTAAATGAGTCACAGATATCGATCCCACACGAAAGCTGGAAATATATATAAGCTAGCTATTTATATTCTATTGTAAACTAAAAATACAAACAAAGTAAAATATGAAGTTTGAACTTAAACTACTTAAGTGAAATACTATTAAATATGCAGATGTACGACTATGATAAGTAAATTAAACTAGATGTTGAACTTTTAAAAGTAAATTGCTGAAATAAAATAAATATTTTTGTTGACTAAGAGTTCAAGTATGATAAAACATCATTCCCATTTACAATGAAAATATGACATGTGAAGAAATTTAAATAATTTGAAAAATATATTTAAAAACTGTTTTGTGTCAAATATAAGCAATCTTATTCTCTACCCCAGCGATATAAAAAATATTGACTAATCCAGAGTTTATCCTCTAATTCTGTGGTTAGGCTGGGAGGATACCGACTATCACTATAGAACACCTACTACTCCCTCACCCAAGGGCTAACATGCTCGCATTGGTTTTCAATAAATTAAACCAAATTGGGGATTCTTCTAATCCGTCACCTTAAAATCTTCAAATTCTACATCCAACGAAGTATATTTCCCTATTTATTTGCACCCAATCTCACAATGAAATACTCTCCCATAAAATCAAATGTGATTCTCCATTTGTTGTAGAAATTATATACCCTTTTCAGAATATATATTTCTCAACACATTTTAACAATTCAATTGCCTAGATCGAAAAATAAATGAAGATCAAAGTTCAAATCATCACAAATTTTTGACATTTAAAATCGTAGAAAACAAAATCAATTCATCACAAAATAATTTCTTCAAAGCAGGGAGAAGGATAAATAAGACTGCTCATAATTCATGAGAAAGATACAATAAAACACGAATTTCATATATAAAAACAAGTTTACAAACAAAAGAAATGAAAAATACAACTTAATTCACAATCCTCCCCAAGTAAATCCTTAGAAGTTCTCTCTAAGTCTTTCCCTCTTTACAATCACTCTCAATTCTCTCTTAAAAATGTAATGAAGAAGAAATCTCTCACATTCCCTCTCCTCTTACAACCCTAGAAGAAAATCTCTTATTTTCTCTCTCTCTAACTCACGCCAATTCTCTCTCTCTCCCTCTCATCACACTCTAGAAGTTCCCCTTCCTTTTTGGGTTGCTTCCTCTCAAAAGAGTTTCAATTTTCTTTACAAAACTCTAAAGTCAAAACTTTTAATTTCAAAAGATGCGCCTCATTAATCCAAGAGTCAATTCCCTTCAAATTAGAATCTTCCATAGTGTCTGAATGCATTGAATCACTCCATTAGGTGTTTAGAACAAGTGTCCATTTGAAAATTTGTGCAAAGTTTATCTCAAACCGCCTTAATTTGAAAATGTCGTGCCGGGCGCATCATGCACCAAACCCCAAAATTGACTGTTTTTGCTCTAAATTTTGATTATTTTGTCATTTTTTCTCCAAATGCCTAGAAATTATATACCTGCAACAATAACTTAAAAATATATTTTTTTTAAAGTGTAATATTACAAAAAATAGACATAAAAATGATACTCAAAACAGTATATTATTTTGGTGTATCAAAGTTCGCCCTATGATTCCTTTAGGAGAAATTGTTCACAATTTATAAGATGAACTGACTACAAATCTTTTTCATCTTACAAATCCCAAGTATTTCAACTCCTTAATGAAAGGTTGAAACCAACGATACCAAGGGAAATAAGAATTTTGATTGATTTTGTTTTGGGCTAAGGTTTTTGCAAGGATAGTCACTCAAACCTGCAGAGATTTTGTTCACGACAGATTCCAATCCTGGCGCCTTTATATAGGAAAACAACAAACTACCCCTAATAATCTCTAACACAATCCTAAGGTTGTGTAAGAAAAGGAAAAATGCAAGGGTACAAGTGCATCATCCACGTGATGTTTGATGATATCCACAATTACAAAATATGAAGATCTCTTCAAGTAGGATGGTGGCTCCTTTCCTCCTTCTCCCATGTGTGAGAGGAAGCTCCCCCAATATAGGAGATGACGACTTCTTCCCTTCTCTAAAGTCGAGTAGAAGCTCTCCTTTTGGAAGGAGACATGTCGCTTTCCCTCACTCTTAAAGTCTTCTCCAAACTCTCTATCATCCTCTTTCTTGAGATTGATGGTAGAAGAGGAAGAAAAAGATGAAGAAAAAAGATTTTTGGTGGGAGAGAATTTAGGGAAGAAGAAAAGAAGAAGGTGTTTTTCTTAGCTCAATCTTCTCTCCAAAACTCTCTCTCTTTCAAATATCTCTCCCGACTTCATTCTCTTTTCCATAAAATGTAAGAAAGAAGAAGAAAGATGAAGCACTCTTAACACAATGAAGCAAGAAAAATAAGAGATAGAGGGAAGAAAAATATGAACGAAGGAGAAGAAGTCCTTCTTCACTTGGGCTCTCCTCCCCTAGAAATCTCCCTTCTCTTTCCTCTAGAGCTCTCTCTCAGTTAAAAAAAGGGTGGAGGATCACCCACAAAAATGGGCTCTCCCAACTCATTTTGTTTGCTTTTCCATACCAAACAAGTCTACACAACTAACTAATTGCAAAGAAAAAAAAGGAAAAATCTTGATTTTATCTTTCATCGCCTGCCTTTGATGCCTTCGATAAGCTTCACGGGAACCATGCAAAAGTTTCTCATAATGGTCCCCTTCATCTGACATGAAACAGACTGAAATGAAGGGATTTAACAAAGGAAAACAAATTGGGCACTTAGGCCCCGCATGGGCGCAAAATTGTCAATCCCTCAATTTACGACATTTCTTTATCGGGTGCAAAAACGGCTATAGTGTTGTAGAAGAGGAGGGATCTTCGGTTAGCAAAATATCACACTCAGAAAGTTGGGCACCCAAGCACCCATTGATAAAATCGAGTTCTTTTGATCGCTACTCGAGAGGCTGGCGCAAAAGCACCCGCCATGGTGGTGCTTTAGCTCCCAAAGAACAACTTGCGCAGATGTATGGGCACTTTTGCGCACAAGCCCCATAGGAGCTTGGTTTTTTGCTGTGGGTGTGCACATAACTTCGCGCGGATGGTGCTTTATTCTTGGACTAACAGGGATCGTCCAGGAGTGAAAATAGATTCTCCCACAGAATGGCGGACACTGGGGGTGCACCGTATTCGTCGCATGGGGCCAAGTATGACTCAAACGATTTGAAACCCAACTTTGCACCTGGATGGCCTTTTGAAGTTTTTATCGATTCAGAAGTCACAAAAGACCATGTCTCGTTAAAGTAACTAAAAAATTAACATTTGAGAGGTTTTTAATTGAGGATGTAAGTGTTAATAGGCATCTTGGCCCCCCACACGGGTGTTTGATGACTTTCCTTGGCCACTAGAGGATTTGAATAAATAGAGCATGACCTCTAAACACCAAGATATACATTAAACATGTCCCAAGTTAGAATTAACGTCGCCCCATGACGAATTCTTTCAGGTGGGGCTAAATTGAGACCAACTCTAGTTAGTACTTGAGACGCGTACTGGATGGTTTGGACGGATGTCCCGACCTATAGGAAGCTGTAAACAGTCCAGTAGCACTTAAGTGGAGATCAATATATATGACATCCAAAAGGATACCAACAAATGACATCACTAAGCTTGAGGAGAACTAAAGATCTATAAGGGAATAGTATAATGAATAAGGGCCCACCAACCCAAGTTCATAAAACCTACATGTCTTATCAAGTGAAGCTTCCCCGAGCCATGTCAGCAGGGCAAAAATAGATAGAACCACGACACGACCCAAATACGAACAAAGGATACAAGAATGAGTTACTCAACCAAAAATGAGATAAATGTGTGTTCAAGCCACCTATCACAAGAGAGTCGATCTAAGATAAGATACAATTTCATGTTATCTCCAACAATCTCACAGATGCCAAGAGAGTCATCATCATGGGTCAAAGATCAACAATTAGATCATATTGACTGATTGACCCATATCGACCAAGCTTAGCCGACCGAGCTAACCTCGTAAGCTGAAATTAGTTAAGCTTATTAGCTGACGAGCCATAGAACAATTGGACAATAAACTAATACACATAAAATGCAAAAAAAAAAAAAAGTCCCTAGTACGGAATAAATCTGTTTTTAAATAGAATTTACTAAAATTGGATTTATGTCATAATTTTTGAGTAGCATGATAAAATAAGGATGGATGGTGAGAAAAATTGATTTAATGAAAGGTTGGATTTAATTTTTATTTTTAAAATATTTGGCTGTATTAAGTTAAATACTCCATGCTGCCAAACACCGCCTAAGCTCTTCTTTCCCTACCCTTCGCCGCCAACACAAACGCAGTAAGGATCGGAAAATCCAGTTTAAACGGATTGAACGGCAGAGCAGAGGAGACACAATGGTGAAGGAGGACGAGGGCACCGTATCAGGCCGGTTGGTGGAAGTCGAACTGGAAACCCTAATCCTGCAGAAAGTGGAAGTAGTCTCCTCTTTGATTGTTTCCGCGAAGCACGTCGACCAAGTGATTTGTGCCCTCCATTCCCTAGCCGTTCGTCTCTTCCCACTCGATTCCTCTATCATATTAGGTATCTTCCGAATAGTATATTCTCTATCTTCTCTAGTATTTTTTTGAGCAAAATTTCCGTTGAAGTATTCGATTTTCAGTGACTTTAGATAGGGCAGTTCCATAGAACAATTTTATTTGTTGTAGTAATTTCTTGATTAGCTTTGAACGATAATGCGTGCGCATCTATGCGTGTTTTGTAGGTGCTAGTGATCCTCAGTACGCAAGCCAGGTACCTTCTGAACTCTATTTTGTGTTATCTCGGTTTCTGATTGTGATTGCTCACCTAAATTATTTGTTCAGGCGTTGGCTGCTGAAGTCTCGAATGATTCTGAAAGAGATGAGTGGAAGCGTGTTTTTTACCATGGGGTCGCCTTTCCTGCCATGTCTAAGATGCTTATATACAGTGCGTTTTCTTCTTTCATTCCGTAACTCTTTCATCTGTGCTCTTTTAATACAGCTTATATCAATATATTTTTAATTACTTATTGGTGATTGCAGATATATTTCCTCATTTTCTGAATTGCATTTTTTCCTAAGTATAACAAAGAGAAAATGAATTTATTTAACTTTTCCGGAAAAGGATATGAAGTGATTAAAATGGCGACTATATTCAAAGTCTTTAGGGGCTTTTTGGTCGCCACTTTTAAGCAGGATTTATTGAGGATTTACACTAAATCATGCCAAACGGAAAAAAATAGAATGCGTAAATTCAACAGATTCTTAAATCCTGTTTTTCCTCCGTTTTGCTTTAAATCCGGGATTTATCAAATGCCGTAGGAAGTGGAATTTACGGGATTTAGAGAAGCTGAGGCGTGTGCCAAGAGTGAGATTTAGTAAATCCTATTAAAACATACCAAACTGTTTTCAGGATTTAAAACCTTCGAGATTTCATAATTCCAGATTTACAGGATTTACTAAATCCTAATCAAACTAAATCCTACTTGCAACCAAACAACCCCTTAGTGTTAGGTGTTATTGCAAACAAGTTGAAATGAATCATTAGTTCCTTACATTTTCTCTACCGAGGAACAGTTTTGCGACCCAAAAATTTGAAGTTAAAACTTGTTCCTGATAATGTAAAACGTTGTTTGTTTGACACTGCGTTGATTTCATATATTTCTTTGCAGATGTTACGTCTAGTTGGTTGAATTTATTTTCTTCTCGAGCACGCAAGCAAGTTTATGATTCATTCTTTGTGGAAGGTCCCCCTTCTGAGATCATTCAGGCCTTGGTTCCTGCTCTCACACAAAGTGGAAACACTGATAGAATTAAGCTCAAGCCTATTTATTCAAATATTGAAAGGTGGTAAACTTTTAAATTTGCAATCTCACAGCTATTTTACTTTTCACTGTTTTTAAAGTTACACGACCATAGATATTTTGTATTTTTGTTTTTTATAGTTGATGCCTGGAATAGGTAGAATTTGATGTTCTTTCCTGAACTTGAAACGGTTTACTACAGTTGAAGGCCATTTGTGGCACTTGCACCCTGAATGTACCATTGTCCTATAAAGAGATTTTTCCATGCAAATGTCTCCTAAACTCTGCATTTCTTCACTTTGGTTCGTAAGGCCTAGTAACAATTTGTTGGTTCCATAAATTTTTTATTATCGCACAATTGTTGCTTGTATGAAACTTGCTAGGAATGTAAATTTCGATTGACAGGCCATTTTCTGTTGTAATGATTTAATGTATGCGGCATTTACATACATACCACACAATTCTGATGTATTTACATATCTAAAACTTAACTTTGATACATTTCTAACACCCAAATATTTCATATTTTATAAAAATACCACTATCACTAAATTTTAGAATGTGAAATACATCTTTTCAAGCATAGGTAACATAGTATAAATGTAAAAATTAAGGTTTTAAGAATTACATGACATGTATGTTACTTAATGTATTTTTCTCTCTTAAACGAACTTTACCTTTCATAAAGCTGATGAAGCAGAACACTCTCTCACATTTCAAATAGTATTATTAGAAATGAACTTGCACTTTCAGAGGGAATATAATGTAAAGTTTTTAACTTTTTATTTTTTTTTGGTGGTTGGTGAAGTTTTGTGTTGGCTAGGGGGTTGGGTGTGATACGGGAGTTAACCCAAACAACAATAAAAATAAACATTATTATTGAAAGCAAATCAATGATTACAACTAAACACACTTGAAAGGAAATTACAACGATAACCACAAACAAACTCATCTAATGTGTATTCAAAGGGTTGGTGGCTGGTTTGGCGGAATGGATGGTAGGAGGGTGGTTACGTGGCTGTGGACGGCTATAGGAGGGGAAGGGGGAGCTGTGGTGCAAGTTGGGGTTGGAAGTTGGTTGCAGGATGAAAGTGGGGTTGGGATTGGTTGGGAAAATAGGATTTGTGGTTGGCTGTAAGGGGTTTGGCTGCGTGTGGAGTGATGCGGTTGTACTGCATGGAGGTTGACAAACAATGACAGCGGGAAGTGGGCTTATCACAGCCCCACTACCCCCCCCCTTGGTAGGGTCTATCGTAGTGCGACAAAGGTTGAGAATTCGAACAACCAATTCTCACCATCACTCGTCTCTACTTTTATATTCAAGACATAGTGAGTGATGAATTATTTTAACTGGATCGTCACAATATGCGCGATACAGTGCATTTTAAATACAAACTCGGAAGCATGAAAGTCATATCATCCAAAACATAAACTATACAGAGCTGATAAATCTAATATAATACAAATACACAACCAAAACATATGTATGAGCTCCTAAAACTATCGTGCAAAAACTGTACTACGACACACCTGACTACTCGTCTTAGTGTTTGTTGCCTCTACCTGGAAGGAAACAATGATGAATGAACAACAACTAGCTCAGAGAAATATCCATGGCTGACATTATATTTTATATATGAAAAAGAAACAACGTGCATGTTCGTATGAAACTATATATGTCTACACATAAATCTTAACATGCCAGCATAATGAAGAACACGAAAAGAGAGCACACACATGTATAAAAATCAAGACTGCCGTTTAAAATGCAGGTCATAAGCTTGAAATCGTAAATATAATAAAAAACATGTTCATAATATATTATTATAATAATGTCATTTCATAGACGTCATATTATAGTAATGTCACTTGTGGAATGTATATAACTCAACTAGACCTGGGCGTTGGGCAGACCGGGTTTGACGTGGGTCGGGGTTATTCGGGCTTTGACTAGTCAAAACGGGCTCAGTCCGGGATTGATCCCATATTTTATTTATAATTTAATAGTCGGACCCGCCCACTAAATCGGTCGGGCCGTCATTGGCTTTAAAAGAAAAGTGATTTTATACAAAAAAAAAAACAAATAATAACATCTTTAACATTTTCTCTCAAATCATGTTGTTAATTTAAAATTTTTAAAATTATGTAATATTAATGTGAATCATGTTGTTAATTTAAAATATTTAAAACTATGTAATATTAACGTTTGAAACATGAAATAATGTGCGATAAGAGTTTTAAATTGATTTTGCATGAATTTTTCTTATAAATTTAAATAAATTTGATATCAAAATAAAAAGATTTTTCTTACACATGAAATACGCAAGACTTTAAACTGAGAATATTTCAATATGTAAATACGAAGAAGTTGAGTAAAAAACCGCAAAAAAAAAATTATATACATACTACTAATAAATTTTTGTTTGATTATATATCTAACACCCGGACTTCAATTATGCATATTTGCCATTTTATTTATGCATGAAAGTTGTATTTTATTTAAAAAAAATTAAAAGTGATAATTTTTTTGTGATATAAAATTTGGTTGGTATTTATATAAAAATTAAAATTTATAGCTGGATAAGAGTCGTCTCAAAAGCTTGTGATCCCGAAATATATTTATGAGACCGGGCCAATGGGTGGGTCGGGCTCATTCGGGATTTGACTAAGTTTAGGATCGGGTTGAACTCGCAAAATTTTATTTTTTTCATAGCTAAGCCCACACAGTCTAATCAGGCTTATGACGAGCCCGTCAGACCATCCGCTCAATGTTCAGGTCTAGGCTCAACTATTTCCATGTCCTTTCATCATAAGTCGTCATTATGTTTCAAATGCTATATAAACTACCGATAAAGGTCGGAATTCTTCTAACATAGTAGCTAACATTTCCCTAACATTTTGTCACCGCCTAATCCCAACAGTTCTCAGAGTTTCGTCCTTGTAAATATCAAGAGTCGGGAATACATCCCCACATAATACTTGCAAACCCTCATGTAATAGTTTACTCATAGCATTACTCATGATTTTTAAATCACCACTCTTGCATCAAGCATTTATCAGACATTAGATTGTCATATGCATAGACATACAATATAACAAATGAATACATGCAGGAAATTCACATCATATGCATTGTCATATGTAGCATAACTTGATCATAACATTACATGTATCGTCAGAAAAGTAAATGCGCATTCAAACTTTCAATTACAGATATCCTTTTACAACATGCAGGAAGTTCTAAATGCAGTCATGTCAAAATAGAAATTATATGAAAACCCATGCAGAATTATTTTTCCTTAAATTAACACAAGATTATTTCAGCCAACTTGATGGAGCAGCCCTACGACAATTGCCCATACGCTCATCTCGAGCTCGCCGCCTCGTATAGACAACCTGAGATTATATTTTTTTTAGAATTATTAAGAATATTTCAATTATTGCTTACCTCAAATTGCTCTCTTAACATCTAAGCTTACACCTTTCTACCGCTAACTCCTATGAGAAATAATCTCTCCATGTTCTTGGCTTCAATAGTTCCCAACAATAAATAAATAAATGAAACAATTAATATTTACTTTAAGAATACCGACTATAAATAAAATAATTTATATATAATATAAATTCATTAACAACCTACCTTCCCATTCCAAAATCCCTCATAATTTTGCTGTAGAACACCTCCTATACTTCTACCCGAGAATTGATTGGTCACATTCTTTTAAATTTCACAGCAGAAATAATGTTACAAGGGATTATTTGGGTCCAAATAATTACATATAAAAGTACATGACTGAATATATGATATATATCTCACCTCAACCACCCAATCTCATCATTAAATTTTTCCCAGAGTACTAAAACAGAGAGAAATTAGTTCTCTGTTTTATCACTACAAGCCAGGTCTCGCTCCATTCCACCAATCCACTGCTGTCTTGCGATTCCGAGCACAGTGGCGGAAGGTCAGAACGAAGGAATACATGATCTTAAAACTTATCTTATGGGCGTGTGTATGTGTGTATGTATACATAGACACCGCGCGCGCTCGCGCGCACACAAACACATATATGTAGTAATTTTACTTAAAATTAAGTTAATCCCTGGCGTTGCTTTTGCATCCCACCAGTACATGTGAATATAAGTAGGAAAATTAGATTACTACAGTAAGCTGATTAATAAATCAGTGATTATGTAAATTAAGTAATGATTATAATTTATTTAATTAGTTTTTTTTTAAACCACTTATATTAATAATCTATATGTACTATTATATATCAATTTGATCGTTACAAAATAAAGAATTTTATAAAAATAATTCGATTGAATTTCGGGGAATGCAAAATTTGGGATATTTTTAAAATTTTCGACTTTACCCTGTTTCTTGAAATTTGGGTGTGACAACTCTCCGCTTCTTATAAAAATTTTGTTCTCTTAAGTTTTCACTTTATTAGAATAGGAAGAGTTGTTTCTGTAGCTTGTCTTCTTTTTCCCAAGTAGCTTCTTTTTCAAACTTGTGCTTCTACTTTATCTTCACAAAATGAATTTGTCTGTTTCTGAGCTTCTTGACATCAGTTGTTAAAATCTTTTCAAGCTCTTCATTATATTTTAGATTTTTTTTCACTTCAATATTTTCATGTGAAATTCTCTGTTCTAAATTTGAAATCTATTTTTTTAACATAGAAATGTGAAACATTTGGCGTATATCTGACATATCTGTAGTTAACGCTAATCTGTAGGCAACTTGACCAATCTTTTCTATAATTTCAAAATGACCGATATACTTGGGACTCAGCTTGCTTTCTTGACCAAATCTTGGTGTACCTTTCATTGGCCTAACTTTCAAAAATACGAAAACTCCAACTTCAAATTCGATTGTTTTTTGCGTTGGGTCGTGGTATTTTTACTATCGATCACGAGCAACTTTCAATATATCTCTAATTAAGCTGATCTTTTCTATGGCTTTATCAACTAGCTAGAGACCTAACAATTAACATTCACCAACTTCAACCCAATTAGTGGAGTTTTGCACTTTATGCCATGGAG